ACCCCCCTTTGTAATTGAAAACGCAAATCACAGTTTGTGAAAATAAAGTTAACACCCCTTAGTCCTAAATAGGGATTTTTAACGGTTGGAAAATGAGTTATATTTTTTTTTCTAATTAAAGTGTTTCTAACCAAATAAAATTTCAGTTGGCTCCCTTAATTTTATGTATTTATTTTATACCGGTATATATATATATTTTTTTTTTTTCTGAACCATGCTTTTTGTTAAGGATAGTCTCTTTAATCTACTACATATATATCCAAATTACATTGTATAAAAATGAATTAAGAATTTTTATATTTTTCTTCATTGTTGACAGCTGTCTGCTTAAATTGACACAAGATCACATGATTAAGTATATAAAAAAAGTCCTATAAACTGGCTGATTCTATTTTCAGCTTCTAAAAAAATATGTTAATGTTCTTCTGCGGAGCAACATAAGTGCTGACGTCACAATCACAGGCACTTGTTTCATGCAAACTTCCGCCAGAGTTCGTTGTGCGGAGACGCAGAGGACTATGGGTAGTATGTTGTTTCATGTATGGGGCACCCCTACTAAAGCCACAGTTGCTTTAAGTGTAACTGCATGTGACGTGATAATACGATTGGCATTACTGGACAAAAATTTTTTAGTCCTCCGGGGATCATGAGGGAATTCGACTTAAACTTAATTTTTTTTTTTTCAAAAATAGCGTAATATATATACAATGTATCGGTAGACTAAAGCAATTGTTATGATTAATTAAACATAATATATTTACGTCTGAAACCACAGGGACCTTTAACATACTGTATTTAATTTTACGTAATCACTATATGTATACCTTTTTTGTATATACACAATATATAGTGATTACGTAAAATCAAAAACAGTATGTTACCGGCCCCTGTGTCTGAAACTGCCTGAAGCGGTTTCTAAGAGGTTATCTTGAATGGTAAACAAGAAAAATGATTAAACAGATAAGTAGTCTATTATGAATTGATAATTGACAACCCTCGTAAATGGCTAGAGAGAAAAAATTAAAAAAATACTTGAAACACATTACGTTTGCTATTTTCAAGGATTGGCAGATTATTAGGCTTTTTCCAATCTATTTCTCAAGCTAAAGGAAACTTTTTAACCTGAGTTTCCGATAACGTACATCTATCAAAAACCGAATTATTCGGCTACATCAACCTTGTTGACGATATCATGTTTTCAACTAACGAGGCATTTTAAATGACTGTTAACTTAACCTTAATTTGGATTTTTAAGCTCAGTTTGCTAATAAAAGGTATATGATTGTCCATAGAATAAATAGAGCAGTTTGTTTGATAGAAAAAAAACTCATTTTGAATTCTACAGAAGTTAAAATGTGATGACATATTCCGAAATTTTTGTAAAAATATCATTTGACAGAGCTGTAGATCTTTTGAAAGAGAGTGATTTGGTTTGTGCTTTCTGCTGCTGTACGTGGTGAAAGTATAAATAAATCAATTATCTGTCATAGCGGTCACAAGCTTTGTTTGCGGAAATCATTGCAATATGAAATTTAAAATAACCCACATTTTCTAAACATTGCTTTTCTTGCACCGAGTGTCCGATAACAACCTAGTAACCGATAACGCGTTGAGCAGAGTGTAAAATGTAACTCGGGAAAGTGAATTTCACAGTGTTCGGATTTTTACACTTCCTAGCGATCAGAATATCCTGTATTTCGCAACCACATCCTTTGATACAATAAACAATGCTTTGAGTTTGTGTGCAGACGTTAAAAACTAGTACAGTAAGTAAACGAGTTATACTAAGCATGCTAAAATGCAATTTTTGTTGACATAAACCGAATAATTCACACGGAATTGACGAATAACCACTTGAAACCATACATTTCATTTGTCTTTTAGATGCACATCGAAAAATTTGTAGGTCCAGGGCAGTCGTTTTTAACTGTTTATCGGTAGACAGCATTGGTTGTCACGTCGTGCAATCATTGGCCGGAGTTCAATGACCTTTGCTGATATTAATTTTTTTTTATTTACACATTTTTACAAATTAGAGTACCAAATTGTGAATGGGACAGACAGGGAGGGTAACGGGTGGGTTCGCCCCGATTACGTGTTCGCACCGAGTGGTTTCGCCCCATTTAACTACAGGAAAAAATTTATGTTCTTATATTTAGATTTACACACAGCGGTAATAAGATAATGAAATAACATTCAATACCTAATATAAAATAAAATTCTTTACGAATTCAAAATTAATCCACCAAGAAATTTAATGCAACATATATTCATTTCTTTTAAATTAGACAAATAAATAGGGCCTAAAGAAATAAATTTTGATATTTCCCTATAATTTTTTTGGTTTAACAATAAAAAAAACCCCCAGTTTTATTGCGATGGATACAGCTACTGCCATTGTCAAAAAAATTGGTAAATCGATAAAACTTTCGTATAGATACATGTAAAAAGCGCAAGGGCAGCCTTTCATCTTTAAATTTTATTAAGCTGCTAATCGTTAGTCTATTGATCAAACATCCACCTGACAAGCAGACATTAATCAGCTGTTCATTATGGGTGAACCCAATTGGGGCGAGTCCACTCAGTGCGAACAAGTAATAGGGGCGAAACCACTCAGAGGGAACAAGGAATTGTGACAATTCGGGAGGGTAACAGAAAGATGCACAGGGACTTCGGGCAGTCTTAACAAAATCGAGTATATATTATAATATTTCCATTTCTAATTTTTTTCTCTGCGATAACTCTTTGAAAGTTGTCGGAGTTTATTTCTTGATAATTCTGCCGGAATGTAAATTAGGCAGGTTGATAGGTCAGGAGCAAAGGAGGCCTAAAATGCATGCAAATCTCGTGCGCATCTGTCTCTGTGTCTGATGCTAAGGAGGCAAAATGTGCATGTAAATCTCGTGCGGCTGTAGCCTAGGTGTTTGACGTCATTGGGTGAGGACTATTGAAATTGGCATGGACGTCCTTGTGTAATTTAAGTCTATGTCTACATTTTAAAAGTCTAAATCTACCATTTTATTTCACAATGAAATAAAAATATAAGGAATCACTGTCTAGTTAGGAGAGTATGCCAGGGACATCAACAATAGTGGAAAACATGCCATTGGGATAATTTTAGCATAACGAGCTTCGCCCGTTATGCAAATTATCCCATGTTTCCCACTATTGTTGATGCCCTGGCATACTCTCCTAACTAGACAGTGATTCCTTAATTAATGGCTTAAATAGGGGAGCTCTCATATACTCGATCTACTAAAATGTCTGACAGTGAAACAATCTGGGCAACCCAAGTTCATTTTGTACTGTGTATTCTACACATCACAAATGTTGTTGCACATTCTGCAAATTACACTTTTCAGTAAATTTAACTCATTTCAGCCTGTGTTTACTGTGTATAATCGTCACGCACCATTTTTTTTGAAAAGTTACTGTACATGTGGTATTGAAATACCATATATTAAATTTCTCTTATTTAAAGTTTCTCTGTGATTCCCTATGCATGGGGATCAAGATTCCTCAACTCTGGGATTTTACAACAAAATAGAAAATACGTCGATCAGTTGTGACTCTTTCATATGACGAAATATGACTTCACATTCAGTCATATTTACCTAAGACACAAGGCTATAATAGTTTTGTGGGCAACTGTATATGGCATGATAATTGCATGAAATTGTTAGTTTGTAATTTTTTTCAAAAATTTCCCATTAACATGTCATTGATTAATGCATTGCCCATGCTTTCTCTGGGACAGATTTTTAGAAGAGTACCTTTCTTGGTAAATGAAGTATAACGTTAACTAACTATAGGATCAAAACTTTTCATGATTTTGCATCATGCATATTATGTTCAACAACACTTTTAAGGATTTCCATTCTTAATTGGATCAAATTCTCTCCCCTTAAATGCCCATCAAGTACATAATGCTCTAATATTAAATTTAAGCATTTTATCATGTTTATTTAATAAAAAAGGATTTATCAGGAGAAAGTTTAAAAAATTTAATTAACTAAGCAGAAGTTGATTAACAAAGATTGCATTGAAGTCTATGCGGAAAAGCGAATCTGATGCTATTGTCGTACTGATTAGAAATATAGAATATACCTTAAAAACTTAAATTTACAAAATATGATTCATTAGGTCATAAAAATTGTATTTAAACGTTAATTATTGTTTGATTAAATGTGTTGGTAATGTATGGCGATCAGTCATTGGTTAAGAAATTAATAACATCAGGAAATTAAAATTGTTGACAACGATGAGACGACTGAATTAAGCTCCACTTCTTTGCTGGAAGAGACAATTTTATTGCTTATTTGATACACTAGTTGACATTTGCCTGAATTTCTATCCCATGTATAATTTCAACAGTGAATGAAAACTGTGTAAATTTCAGATGTTAATTTTAATTAATGTAACGTCGAGAATGACGCGCCTTACTGAAAGTCCAAGCTTATGTGGGAATTGTCCTAATTTTTATGATCTAGCTGTATTCTTCCTGTACAATTCTGGTTTTTGACTTGCATCCCATATCTTCTAGACCAACCCTAGTCATGTCAGACTTATTGAGTACATATGGTAATATTCAACATGACAAAGATTAAGTTTCCACAAACTTGACACGTGGAAAAATTTATAGATGCAGTATATTTGAAACAAGTATTTAAATACAAGAAGTTAGATATGTAAAAGTACTTGAAACATCCCAATTTAAATACCCTTGTGTACTAGATCAATTAAATGTCAAGTGAATTCATGTATGATAACAATACTGCTAGAACTGTACTAGAATTTTTCACCTGAATACAGGACTACATGTATATATAGAATGATGTATTGGTTAAATCTCCTGTAGTATTTTAGAGACATTTGCCAAGTACACGCACGCAGTCATATAAAAAAAAACTAGAACTGAATCGGTGAAAAATGGATCCGAGATGCATTATTTATTGATTACTGTAGAAAAAAAAAGGATTTTTACTGTTAACGTGATTAAGAGACATTGACTGATCTAGACATCCTTCAGACCTTTTACAAAATGTGCTGTTTATGAAAAAAGGAACCTATATTAATGATAATTTAATTTTTGGTTTCAATAATTGTAGACTTACCTATTATAGTACATATTTGTAAAAGTTAAAGCGAAAGGGAGACTCAAAGAGAATGCAGGAAAATTAAGGTAAGGAAACATTGCATGATGTTACAGCATTTGAAATTATTTTTTTTTCTTTGCTAGCTTGACAGGAAATTGTTGTTTTCTTATTTTTGCTTTGGTAACAGCTCTAGCAAAATGTGATCAATGATATTGTGCAGAAGATAGCATTGGATTACAATTTTCTGCTGAATATTCACACTCAAGTCATGTAAAACAGTTATAAATTATTTTCAGGGATCATATTTTCCCTCTAATTAGACATGTTACGTCAGCCATTTTTTTTCCCCATGCACATATACAAAATAACATTTGAATTTTCATTTTTTTTTTCAGTGTTCCTTAAGAGGAGGTAGATAAAAAATTCAAACAGTAATTAGAAATCGTTACTAATTAGCAATGGCAGCAGTGACAACTCAACAACCTCAGGCCTCAGACCAGAGTGGCGCTGATTCTGTGCTGCTTAAGAGTGGCCCTATTACCATTAGACATTTAAGAAACTCAGAGGAGGACTTCAAATTCTTTGCAAGAGTGTTAGTCGAAGCCTTCGAAGGAAAATTTGTTTATGCTACAAGTAAAGGCAGGTATGTATAAATTCTCTCTAACTATTTACCTGTACAATGGTAATTCACTATTCTTAACTGGGGAAATTTTTTAATACTTTGATTTGTTTTGAAAGTTCACTTTAGAACTCTTTGGTACATTTAGAACCATAGTGCTTTAGTAGAGCATAGTGTCCAACAGCCCTTTTTTTTTCATAATATCTTTTATTTATATTAAATACATATTTATACATTTCATGTATGTGTGATTTCTGTTTATTGAAAAATTACACTCAAACAAGGCGATATAAATGTTTGAACAAAATTTGGGATATCTGAGGGTTAGAAAGTTTGGGGAAGGATATGGAGATAACGAACAGTATTCAATCTCAGAGTCAATTAAACAATATACAAAATCAGAGCAAAGCAAACACGGACCTCCGAAACATCAGAGGTGGGATCAGGTGCCATGAATGAGTGAGCATCCCCTGCTGACCGGTCACACCCGCCGTGTGCTCGTTGTCATGATCAGGAAATAACGGAAAAAATCTGTTGTCAATTCAGTGTATTAATAATGGACTAACAATTGGTATGAAAAACGTCAGTCAGCATTTGAGGCTTAAAAACATCAAGGAAAAATGCATACATGTTAACCTATTGTGATGAAAAAGAGGGAGATTCAGACCTCAAAAGCGGTAGCATTGCGCGCGTGTTGTTTAACGCTTAGATTATCGATATCTTTCATGTATATACATGTATATTATAAGCCTTAAATGAAATCAGGTACCTACACTAATTAATCTTAAATATCAACAGCAAAGAAGAAGACAGAAAGACCTTAAGTTTGACATAAATTGTACAAATTCAAATATTTTTCATGCTCATCATTTTGCTTGGATTGGCTGCTTTACTTAGCCTTTTCAAGAGTGATCTTTGCTGAAATAGCCTAGAAGCAATAATTCTGAATGTTCATTCAGTTTTTAAACATAACAAATGATGGCATGGTTTAATCTAGATCTAAAACAAGTTCGTATCTTTCGTTATATAAATCAGATTTCCCGCGATGATCGAAAACGAAAGTAGAGATGTGCCACATGGCTTGGTCAATCAAGTGATTTCTATTGACTTTATTGATAAAGTTGTGAGCTTCTGTGCTTTTAAAGACGATGTCAAATGTTTTCATCAAATTCTTAAAAGCTGTATCTCCTTTTTCATGGCAGGGATGTTGATTAATTTATCGTAACCAATGTAATCACTGGTAGTCTTATGTTGTTGTCGTTGTCATATCCGTGCTTGAAATCTATGTACAAAAAAGCGTTTGTATGATTCCGAGTCAAATCACGCGATATCTAGCGAGATTTTATGAGAGTGGCTTCAAAAATGGATACCCAAGCGAACCAAAAATACTTGAGACGCAGCTTTTCTAGAAAAGCGGTAGATTTCTGAATTAAATCAGTAGGCGGGAGATGGAGTGAAAAAGCGGTAGACTCCCGCCTAAATCGGGAGAGTTAACATGTATGAAAAATGGATGTCACATCTTGAAACATCTTGAACAAATCCATGAAATTTCAAGATACCAGTGACCTGGATATCAAAGTTTCACTTGTAATTCAAATAAATAAAGAAAATTAAGGTCAGTAATTTGATTTTTAAAAGTTGATCTTTCTATAAATATATTTTACACAGCCTTCCCGACATGGAACAATACATGGTTAACAGACTGAGAGGGCGACCCCCGGAGTATTACGAGAGAAATTTGGTGGGGGAGTATGAAGGGGAAAGGGCATGTGCTTGTGTCCTGGTGTACAATGGAGATAGTGAACTCTTCCCGTAATATTTACAATTTATTCAAATTTCATTCAGTTTTACAAGACATCAGTCTATTCATTATTATATAGATTATATTATTATTATTTAATAGAAATTATAATTAACAAAGCAAATATAAAATGAATTAATTCAAATAAAGAGTTAATGAAGAGGGGAAAAAATTTATAATATGGTGTAAAGAAGGTAAAACTTTGTTTTTAAACAGGGAGAGAGAAGAGGACATGCCCCCTCTTGGATGTACAGATATTTGTGGGTGAGGACATTTTTTTTTTGTTGTAATTTCAGGACCCCCTCCCCCTTTCCCCTTTTATTTCACATTCATTACATTTTAGGTATTGAACAATATTTTTGCATCAAGAATTTAACGGTCAGAGTATCATTGTAGGCTTTTGTGTATGGAATGTGCTTTAGGGGGTGAGAAGGTCCCGCCAGGAAAGTGCTATTTAGATACCATTGGAGTAGATGCCAAATTTCGGGGAAAGGGTATAGGAAAAGTTATGCTTGACGCAGCTGATGCTGATGCAAAAAGAAGGGGATGCAAGGTATATGGTGAATTTGTTTGATTTTTTACAGGCAAAAGATTTAACATTCAAATTTGTTTGAAATACAGGAAGTAATGCTTTATTTTTGATATTTACAAATTTTTTGACACTTTCTGAGTTTTAATCAAAACATGCATTTCCATAAGTATCTTAAGTATGTTTAATTAAAAAAAAATTAAATTAAGAAAAAATACAAACAGAAGGTGGTTTCATAAGCAACCTACATGAAAATTCTCCAAATTTTTCTTAATGTTCAAATATATTACAAGTATTTGCAAACATTTGTCAAGTAATTTGCTATCAGATCCAAGTCAAATTTAATGATTATCTCACCTTGTTCTTTGTTGCAGTCAATTTACCTTAAGGTAGCCTCTGACAATCGGGCTAAGCACCTTTATGAGAGACATGGATATGTACTCAAGGATAGAACCTCTCGCTGCTGCTGTATGTGGTGTCAGACAGGGATCAAAGTATGTACACTGTATCTATTGATTGATTGATTGTATATTGTTTAACATCCCTCTCGAGAATTTTTCACTCATATGGAGACGCTACATTGTATCTACAGTCAATCCTTGTTATATCAAACTCAATAGTGCCAAATAAAAACTTGAGAATTTTATTTTATAGATAATTATATAGAAGGTAAAATTCTTAAAGAAACTGTGGTTAGGACTTGCAAATCATTTTGACATATGCATGGTGTTTGAGTGATCAGTGTTTGAGATACTGTTTGACTGTAGTATAATTTTCATTTGTAAGAGTTTTCTATTAAATAACTCTGTTTGAGCAATGTGTATTTATCACAGTATGCTTATATTGTTTTTCATCAGAAATATTTCGTTTAAAAAACACTGTTACCCCTCTGAATGCTGAAATTACACCATAAGAATCAACATGATTATCATTACTTGAGAAAATGTAAAATTCTCAGAACTTTGACTATGTTGCAGTTATTTTATTTTTATTTTGTAGGAATTTCTAACAGTGGAAAAGTCATTGGAGTGATATTAAAAACTACTTAGAAGACTCTACTGGTGTCAGGAATTATATCTAATTGATTTCATTTGACTAATTATTAGTAGATATATCCTTTTACATATCATAATATGTGTCCTTCTCACTTGTGTACAGTTTATATATTGTATATTTATGTATTCATACATGATTATACCCTCCGCGGGAGGATATATAGTAATCATTAATTCCGTCCGTCTGTACATCTGTCTGTCCGTCCGTCTGTCTTTCCGTCCGTCTGTTACGCTTTGGGGTACCCATCTCTTATCCGCAACTCCTCTCATACCACTGAATGAAATTTGATGAAACTTTCACAGAATCTTTATAACATATCGCCATTGTGCAAGTCCTATTTTACTTTTTGATCCGACACATATTTTGGGTTTCCCGGCCACATCAAAACATGGACTTTGCCAATAAAACTACTAGTACATGTATATGGAGGCGGGGGTATGATTTAGTGAGCTCGTCGCTCACAGTACCTCTAGTTTTGTTTTATGTCATATCCATTATTTTTTTAGTTTTCTGTTACTGCAACATATTTTTAATGTAGTTATATTTTTTTAACATTTTACTTTGTCAGGCATAATATATTTTTTTTATTTTTGAGAGAGTCATAAAAGTACATGTCATTTTAAATATATACAGTGAAGATGTGTATGTTTAAATTTAGGATTGTCAAAATTATATATGACTTAGATATATAAGAATTTTTCTCTGTAACTTTCTATAGAAAACTATTACTCAATTTAGAATTTAATTGTTGTTATATTGTTGTTATATACACAGTGAAGACTATTAACCTAATCAAAATTTCATCTACTCTTTTGTTTCCTTTTAAAAATTAAAATACATGACTGTATAAAGGATCATTTTACCCTTTATTTGGAATATTGTACTTCATCCGGTGAAATATTTTATATTTTATAGGAGTAAATGTACAAAAATTCTGTCAATGTTCAGAATACTAGTATGTTAAAAAATTTTATGGAGATTTTATCTTTTATATTGTCTTTATATATTTTTTCTAACTATACTTGATCAATTTTATAATACTCTGACAATATACATGTTCATAGAGGCCATGGTTGTAGGTGTGCTGTTTTTTCTGATACACATTTCTCTACATGTTTCTCTAAATGCTCCTCTTAAAATGAAGTAAATAATTATGATTATACTTTTTTTAGAGTTATTTTTAAATTACTTCTATTGTTCTGCAATTTTCTATTTGTTTCCATATTAAGGCAGGTTACAAAAATTCATGTAGAAATTTGAAAAAAAGGTAATTATATCCTGCAAAATCAAAAAAGAAAATAAGTTAATTAATCAATAAATAAATAAATTAATTATTGATTATTGCATTAAGTTCTGATAGCTTCTGAATTGGAGTTTCAATTACATTTTGCTTTTGAACGAAAAAAAAGTGTGTGTGTGTGTGGGGGGGGGGGGTTACTAGTGTTTAGTGTTTTGTTAGCTGCGGAAGGGTTGCTCTCTGCTTGAGAAAATATGAACAGATAAAGCCCCTCAGCTTATCCGTCTCAATTTTCTCAAGCAGAGAGCCATAGTCCGAAAGCTAGTGTTTTGCCTGTGACAAAACCTTTTCAAATGCACTATATTTAAAATGATGACCTTAATTTTTTTTAATTCAATTGTAACTTTGACCTTTCATTAACCCCACTGGCCAGTCTGTTACTGAATAAAAACATTACGGTAGCCCTTTTCACAAAACATCTTACGACATATCTTTATCTTAAGTGAAAACTTAGCGATAAAAGTCGTTCTCACAAAAATTCTTAAGAAAGTCCAAAGTGCAAAATCTATCGTGACTTTACGAGAGCTCCAAACCTCTCTTATGTATTTCAAACCGATTTTAATGTTAAAATTCAAAATACACATTAAATAGAACTTGTGAAAGTAACTTCCAATAATATTTTTTATTTTTTCTTACGCTAATTTTGGAAAAATGACATAAAATACACTACAAAATATTTACAATTTAAGTTTCACTTAAGATTTTCGTACAACCTACTCTTACGTCAGACTTGTGATTGTGATGTCACACTTCCAACTTCTTGCTTATAGTCTGGTCCTGATTTTTAAAGAGAAGGCTGGAAATAACTTCTAACGGCAAATAATTATTATTTGGTCCAGCATAGTTTTTTAACCTAATTCGAGTATGCTAATTCCGAAAAAATATGCTGGCTTTCATGAAAATGGCGTTAAAGAGGTCAAAATGGCAATTCAAAATGGCGGACATCCAATTTTTCTAATTTTCTCTTAATGTCGTTCAAAATGGAAAATAAAAAAGTGAATATCTAAGTTAGTGTAATAAAACTATGAAAAATTATAATAATAAAATGCTAACATCATTAGTTTAACTCAGAAAATTTAGCCGTTTTTTCACTTAATTCGAATTTTCTCTGATTTATTTGTCTATTGTTTCTTTATTGTCCTTTGTTCAGGATTTTACATTTGCAAATACCCATACACTGCAGATTTGTATTTTTCCTCTACATCTCACAGTTCTACAATTGAATGATGGTGCAGCTGTAAGTTTAAAGTCAAAATGGCGATTCAAAATGGCGGATCTTCCTTTTTTCAAATTATTTCTTAATGTCGTTTACATAGGAGAAAGGATTTGTGAATATTTTATTGAGCGATGTACAACTAGGTAAAATTCCAATAGAACACTAGTATGATCACTTTAAATCGGAAGATTTAGTCGTTTAAATTTAAAATGTGTTATTTAGCTCAAAATGGCAATTCGAATGACGTGTTATACACTCGATTTCGTAAAATACCCAAACTGCTTAATTCTGATTTGTTTTGCAGAAAATAAATAACAGGGTTTTTTAATTCATGAAATAATGTTCAAATATGTGATGGAAGTTAATGGATATTTTTATTAATGACTTAGGATTTTTATAAAACGGATTTTTGTTTAATTACTTCTATTATTATGATAAATTTTTGAGAACAATTCCAAAGACATTTCACCTATTATCCATCAAACATGTATCATGCTTCTTCATATAAAAAGTTAATAATATCATACAATAATTGCTGTTTTGAGGACAATATGAAAATTAAGCTACCCCAAGAGCAGTATTCACCGAGCATTAAGGCGAGTGAACATTGTAGTTCCAGGTTTGCTAAATCATATCAGTTGTTGGAAATTCTTGATCTAATTTTAGTCCAGTGTAGAAAAAAATATTTATGTTCATGTAGAAGATCTAGTGCAACTTAACTTATTATGATTTTTAAAATGATGAACCAAGAGGAATTAGATTGCTAGTATTATTGTTACATCATATAAATCTGAATGTATTATAATATCCAAACATAAACATATTTATTAAGAATTATCAGTATAATATACGTAAACCATAATTTTTTTGATTGCCCAGCTCTGATTCTGTGTCCCTACATTTGCATTTTGTTATTCTCAGTCAAAAATTCAACTGCATTCTCAAAAATTTCATGGTGTGAACGGTCCTCCTCCACCAATTTTGTATTGAACAGTGTATATAAATTTAAAAAAATTTAAATTTACAAAATCTGAAAGAAGAAAATGTTTGTGTTCAATCCTTCCTCGATTCTTGATACAACTTTACACTATCCTAACGAAGAAGTGTGGATCAAGTTGCCTTGTAAAGTTTTTGGAGTGTTCAAGGAAATTTTGTCAAGAGAAGTGTTGACTAGATCGAAGTCAAGAATGGCTTATGCCTATTGTACGAAAGCTTGTAAGTGATAGGAATCACGAGGAATCTGCAGGCGCTATTAAATTGCATAATTTTACAACTTTTCTCGCCAAAATATGCACACAATGTGATTCCAGATGATGAAGTTTGAGAATTTTCTTGCTAATAGAATGACCTTTCTACTTGAAAAGAAAGCAAATCTATACGCGCTCACGAAATAAAGAGCTACAAGTCTTGAATATCAGAGATTTTTTTATATCCCCCCCCCGATTGAAAAGCGGGAGGGTATAGAGTAGTCGGTATGTCCGTCCGTCTTTTACGCTTTGGGGTAACCGTCTCTTATCCGCAACTCGTCTCATACCACTGAATGAAATTTGATAAACTTTCACAGAACCTTTATTACATATTGCCATTGTGCACATCCTCTTTTACTTTTTGATCCAACACATATTTTGGGTTTCACATAGCAAAACATGGACACTGTGTATTCATAGGTATTCATATGGGCAACGGGGGTATCGTTGCGTGAGCGGTTTGCTCACAGTACCTGTTCTTCATTTTGCATAAGGTTTTGGAAAACAAAATAGACTTTTAACATTTGAACATAAATGTATTTTTTCTTGAGTGTTTTTTAATAGATTATGGAGGAATTGTTTAACGCCGAGTCGGCTATTTTTCAACCATGTTTCGGCGGACTATCAGTTTAAATAATCGGTTTTTGGAGGATTTTGGTTTCTCTTGGTGACCCCCTTTTGAGCTTACTCTTTTTCGAACTCCAAATGAAAAGATCTTTTACGTGCCAAGTGGGTTGTCATCCTTGACACAGGGCACCGTTTTACTTGACTGTTGAAAATACCAAAATTCCGAAGACAGATTTATATGATGTAACAATTACTAGCCCTCTAACTGCTCGTGGTTCATGGTTTTTGAATATTCAATTGCCTAAGTTATGTTGCACTAGATCTTGCACATGAACATAAACATTTTTTTTTTACACTAGACTAATAGAGAATTTCCAACAACTAATATGATTTCACAGCAACCCTCGAACTAGATGTTCACTCGCCTTAATGCTACAGTAATACTACTATTTGGGTGGCTTAATTTTCATATTGTCCTCAAAACAGCAATCATACTATAATATATTAACTTTTCATATGAAACTCTTAAGTCGAGTTTGTTTTAACTATTTCCAGAAAAACATGAATCTTTTCTGATATTTTTTGTTTGTTCATATTTAATAGAATAGTCAATATACTATAATTATATATAAAAAAACAAACTATAATTTATTTTCAAAATTAAGCAGTTTAAGTATTTTCGAGAATTTGAAATTTGAGTGAATATGACGTCATTTTGAGTTTTAAGCTAATTGACACATTTAAATTTAAACGACTAAATTTTCATTTTAATGTGTTCATAGTAGTGTTATACTGGAATTTTACATTAGTTAATTGTACTCGCTCAATAAGATATTCACAAATCATTTCTCCTATGTAAAAGACATTAAGAAATAATTTGAAAAAAAGGAATATCCGCCATTTTGAATCGCCATTTTGACTTTAAAGTTACAGCTGCACCATCATTCAATTGTAGAACTGTGAGATGTAGAGGAAAAAATACAAACCTGCAGTGTATGGGTATTTGCAAATGTAAAATCCTGAACAAAGGACAATAAAGAAACAATAGACAAATAAATCAGAGAAAATTCGAATTAAGTGAAAAAACGGCTTAATTTTCTAAGTTAAACTAATAATGTTAGCATTTTATTATATTTTTTTTATATTCTTATTACTCTCAGTAAGATAATCACTCATTACTTCTCCATTTTTAACGACATTAAGAGAAAATTGGAAAAATTGGATGTCCGCCATTTTGAATCGCATTTTGACCTCTTTAACGCCATTTTCATGAAGGCCAGCATATTTTTTAGGATTCAGCATACTCGAATTAGGTTAAAAAAACTATGCTGAATTAAATAATAATTATTTGCCGTTAGAAGTATTTTTTTCTATAAATCGGACCAGACTATTACACTCGTTATTTGTTGTCAATAACGTTTGTTTTTTGCTGATAAATGATGAAAACTGTGCTATATATTTTTATTATCATTTACTAATTTAAGGATTATAATACTTATTGAGAATGCTGCTAAGGACATAGTCTATCGTAAGTAAATCTTAAGTTCAATCTGCTACGAATGCGTTCGTGAAAAGCACGTACATGTAAGATTTGTCGTAAGAGATTCGTAAGTTAAAATCTTAAGCAAAAACTTCAGATTTGAAAGGTCTTGTCACAATGGTTACATGTGAAGTATGAAAGTCTTACTGTTCAATAGTTATAATCAATTAAAGTGTGTGTGTGTGTGTTTTTTCAAAACTCAAGTGGTGAAATAGGGTGGTACGTACCCAAAATTAAGTCTTGTCACAAGGAATACATCTGTGAAATATTAAAGCTACAGCCCAATCCTACCTAAAGTTATGGGCAAGGTTAAAGTTTTTGCGTACAAACGGACGGACAGCCTGAGGACAAAGTATATACATGTACCCCCGAATCTTCGATTACGGGGACACAAAAACTAACGTAAAAAA